CAGTTGAATCTACGCTTTGATTAACTTGTGTTATTAGGTTTTACTAGTTTCGGAGAATTCTACTCCTCATCAGTAACCCATATCACAAGTTAACCAAGAAGAGATAAGCTGGATCTATAGCATAGTGAAAAGATACACACAAAACACATCAGCTGAAAGTGGTTATTTGAAATACTCAGACAGATAAAGCACAAAAAATTATTATGATAAAAAATGCAATGTCACGCCTTGATCTGGAATAGCTTTCTTAGCGTGGTTAACCAAGGTTGCAATTTGTAAGGGCGCGTCTTAGGCTTAGCTCCCTCCCATGGAGTACGGCAGTGTTTCTGTTGTCGGCAGGACTTAATGGCACGTGAGTTATGAATCTGAGAATAATTCTGTTTTCTCCCAGCGTGGAAACAGTTGGGCGTCTACGTTTCTATTGGAATCATGGGTGGTAAGAGTTACGTGATTACAAAACTGCCAGTAAAGTTAAACTAATCTTTATCCAACATTTATTTTATACAGGTTTTTTGTAATGTATGTGTGTGTGTGTGTTTATCAAATACTATAAATTGGAAGTCATTGCAACAAGTGTGCATTTCCTTTGAAATGAATTTTATTGGAAATATCTGAAATCAGGTTTGTGACGTAATTGCAACTTCTCAAGTATATTTGGGAAAGAGCAAAGTTATTAAAATAATAAGTAATCTATTTATAAAAATGAAACTAAATTTAAAGCTACAGGTAACAATAAAAACAACTCTATAAATTAAAATTTAAGAACGTAAGCACACATTATAACATTAAATCGTGTTGATTTTCTTCTTGAGCTTGAGTTTCAAATTCTCTTAGATTTATTATAGGTTATCTTTCGCACTTGTAAAATCCGTTAAAATCACGCCTTCTATAGATTAATAATCTATCTATTATTTAGAAAAGCATTAAAACATTGAGTGAAGCATTTTTCACACAAAAAAGTCTCATTTTTTCGTTTCCCACAATTGAAAACCGGAAAGCATTGGAAATGTTATCTTAAATTACACCATTTTTTTACATGTCAATGAAAATGTTTACTTGCTTGAAAAGAGCTAATTGTTAGATTACGTACAAGATATTTATATAACTTCATACGTAATCCTAAATTATCAGTTTCACCAACATAAAATCTCATTACATATAACATTTAGGTACGTATAAAACATGTTTGGAATTGTAACTATATTGGGAATTAACATAAAAATGCTTTTACCAGAAGAAACCACGAGTAAATTTTCCTTCATTGACGTAACATTTTTGATACAGGTCACAATAACTTCGCATGAGTAAAATTCGATGACGAGGAACCCACTTTGAGACT